AAATGCTGGGTTATCCCAAGCCCTCAGCTTGTCTTAATGCCAATTATGATAGTGTAATTCTACCACAGAACTGCCCTGGCACTGAAATCCTCATGCTATTTCAACTGTCTGAGCTGAAAGTAATACTTTGAGCCTATGAGCCAGATTGCATGTAGTCATACGCAGATAAGAGTGTTTTTTCCTACTGTCAAACATGAGTCCTCTGAGATTCCAGGGTTTTTTGTAGTCACTTTACTCCCTTGAACGAGTGATATCTTAACTACCAGTTTAAAGCACAAGTATCAAAGGAAGCCAGTGATAATATGAAGTGTCACCGAATGAGAAATTAATCTGTGTCTACAGAGATGTACTCTGCGCGCCCAAGGTATTGTGATAAAACACATTTGAGAACTGTCTCTTCTGCAAGGGAAGATGTTTTTTTATATACCAAACACTTATTATATGTGAAGTGTTTTGATAAGACAACTGCACTATGTCCCCTGAAAGCTTAATTTATTGACATTTATAGCAGTACTTGCTGCGTGAGGAACAAATTACAGAGCTATTTTTCAGGTTGTCTTCAGATCCTGCAGACATACTGTAAGATAAGGGAGACTCGTGAAACCACGGGGGAAAGAGATGCAGTAAGCATGCTTCAGTCCTCCTCTCTAGAGTGAGCGGAAGTCCCTGCCGGACCATGCCCACATCTCGATGTGATCAGTTCTCCTTTGCTATTGCAAACCTGCCCTTGGGTTCTTTCTCAGAGTGAGTAGAATTACACTGAACAAAGATTACACAAAAAGCAATGGTTGAAGCCAACCGTTTTAACATCAAAAGTCCAAATTTCTCACCACCGTTTATTGGCTTGTCAGCACTTTGCAGACCTGTATTTTGGTGATACTCCAGTATGAAACCTGAGTGGTTTAGGTGCAGCTCTCACTTCTAGCTATAGAGCTGGAAAGAGATGGCCCATGCTTAAGGATAAAACTGCATTAGAGAGGCATAAAACTATTCAATCTTGTATTCCCAAATCTGAGTCTAAATTGCAGTTATTACTGTAATTCTGTGGTATGCAGTTAACAAGATAAACTGTTAATTTCACAATTTTATATCTGTTAATAAATCGCAGCAGTCCAGACAAACTATGATATGTATAATAAATACTAGAATTTAGTATAATTACAGCACAGTAAAATATAACAAATGCAGAACATTGTGAGGGTTTATTTTTAAACTCCTGATGTATTTTTTTCTTCTTCCTTCTCATTAATACATTTGCAGATAAAATAGTTGAGACATCCTCTATTGGGAAATAGGTGGCCTTGCATGTGTTCAGCTGACTCTTGTGTTTCTACTACAATATTTCCACTGACGAATTTCTTTTCAGACATGGTGTCAAGGAGAATGTGTTGCTTTGAGTAATTCAAAGTAATTCAGAGTAATCACTGTGTAATGTCAGTAGTGTTATTCATGATTCTTGTGGGAGTGTGAATGAGTTGAGGGTTCTTTTGTACAAAGATTACATTCTTGTAGATATTGTGTTAGGATATATGCAATTAAAACCACAACTAAGTTATATCTGTAAGGAAGATGCCTCGATGTTTTATTTGGAGGTATGTCGGAAATATTTTCTGTTTATTTTGGCTGGGTAATTAAGTGTATATAGTGAAATAAAAGGAAGAAGAGAAGGAGGGAACCCTGTTCGAATGCCACAGGCAATGAAGTATGTAAGGAATCTCCCAGCACCCCCATTTAAACTTTATCTTTAAAAACACACATACAAAAAAAAAAAACCCCAAAAACAAACCAAAGCAAAACTTACAATATAAATAGAAACAGTACAACTTCTGCCATTGTAAAGCAGCAAATAACACCTGATTTTTACCACCTGGAAAGCAAACCAGGCCATCTGCTTCATATCAGCGTGGAAGATACTGCAATTCTTGAGTCAAAGCATCATCCAGGCAAAGGTGTGAAGAGGAGTTAATTGGAAAAACAGTGTAAGAAAATAGATCAAAGGTTTGTCTTAGAAGAGGAACGGTATCCATGTAGTGTTATCCTACTCTTAAAATTAAAAAGAATGCGTATTAGCCTTTCCCTTTGGTGGGCCAGCCCTGCTGCTTTCACCTAGTCTGCATGTGCAGACAGGTTGAAAAGGGCCTGCTTTGTGCAGAGGTCAATACGGGGACCATACATTGCTTTGATCCTGCTTTTGCTCTCAACAGGGAACCTTCAGTGGGATGTGAGGTGTATTGGCCTTGTGCTGGCTCCCTGCCCAGGGGCAAATCCCTTTCTAAGCAAGTGACGTTAGATTGTCAACAAGATAGCACGTTCAACAAAAGCTTGTGGTATATTTTCTTTTTGCTCTGGTACACAAACAAAATCAGACTGCAGAGCCCATTTGGTATGACATCAGCTTCAGTCATTCAGATTAACAAATAACATTTACCTTTAATTTTTCTTCATGTATTTCTCTAAAGGATTAACAACGTGGATTTTTCTGTAGGAAGAGCGGATGTCTGTTTGCCACAGGTGCAATTCTGACACTCTGGGAAGTGCCGGTGACCTGCATTTACAGTAAACACAGAAAAGAGGTGTAGCAGCAGGGAATGGTGCATTTGCATGACAGGACTGAAATGTAACCCTATCTTTTTGAACGTGGCTACACTTCTGGCAAGATCATGGAGAACCGTGAAACATTCTGGCACCTGAGACCCCCCAAGAGGGATGCTTTCATTTCCTTACAGGGATACTGCCACAGAACAGAGTTTTAAATCTAATGATGACACAAATCAAATGTCCTTTTCCTACTTCAGATATTTGCTTAGAGGCCAACATCCTCTTTGTTTTAAGAAAACTCTAAGTCTTTGCCTACCTCAGTGCCACAGTGAATGAGCTATTTTTGTTGAAGCATTCATTACTGAAAACATTTCTACTTGGAGACATTTCTGACAGCAAAGTTTATAGTGCAAGTGATGTTGAAAAGCCCATACTGTTCAACTGTTTCCAAAGATTTTTTTAAAGGCAGAAAGGCTCTCTTGATTATTTGATCTGAAATGAGTCATACATACCATGGGGCATTCCTCAGTAATTCTTACCTCACACCCATACCTTCCATCTGAGCTATGGCACATATTTTAGAAAGACATTTAGTTGTGAATGGAGAAGATCTCAACCCCTCATGAAATGCATTAGCTAACTCTTAGGTAATGCTACAAAACCTTCAGCTTCAAACACCAGCTCTTAGTGATGTTAGTGATGGAGGCGAAAGTAGGTGGATAGTTGCCCTGGATTTTGAGCCATTTTGGTGCTGATCCTGCTCCTGGCATAAACCAGAGTCCAGGATTGTTCTCACTCGTCTGTCAGGAATGGTCTGCCTGTATGCTCATCATACTTTGAAGATTACCATTGTTTTTTGAAGCTGCAGAATAGGCCAGCAAAGATACAAAGGCTAACTTGAAAATGCATGCTGACATCATTGCTGCTGGTTTCTGACTCAGCAGAGACATAGACGTGTTTCTCAGAGTGGAGGATGTTGTTTCAGTTACTCACACTTCTGAGGCAGTTTGGCATGAAAGACTGAACAGGATGGAAACTTTCACTTTGAGCAAAAGAACAGTTTTAATAGAGCCTACACGCCTGTACCTTTTCACGTCTGTGCCTTCCCACAGCCCTCCCAGACCAAACATTGAACTCCCCATACTGTTAGTGGCAAAAAAAAAAAAAAAAAAAAAAAGGAAATTCAGTTAACTGTGAAGATGTGTTTTCAGAAAAAATATAACTATGGAGCTCTTGAACAACAACGTGGGAAAAGTCAAAGACCCTCCAGTCACTGCAGAAGAGGATCCTAACACAACAGGATATTTTAGAGGAAAGGCATGGATGAGGACATTATGGCCTTAACACTGCCAAAAGTCGTCTTTTGTCTGCCTCTTCACCTTGGCAAGCTGCAGGCAAACTGGAGGATGCAGCACAGATCTGGCACAGAAAAGAGGGATTTTCAGCTCCCCAACTAAAGCAGTGTGTAGAGTCCATCAGGTAAGCCAATATCTATGTAAACATCTAGTAATAGCTACACAGGGCAATCAGGGCATCACCTTTGTATTTGTTTATCTGAGGCAGGTGCTTATAGTGATGACCAGAACATTCCTGCAATGAGCAGAAACATGCAAAATGTTGAAGATTTTTGAAAATGCTCATGTTCAATATCTGAAACTCACACTTCTTGAAAAAGCCTCTCTCTGGGTGAAGAAAGCAGTTTTCCTCCTATGCTCGCACGTATGCATTCTTGATCTGACATGACTTGCAACCACAAGAGAGCACTCTTATCAGCTTCCCCAGAAAGCTAGAGACATGCCATATAAGTTTTGCAAACTGCTTGTGAGCTGTTTCAGTTAGACCAGAGCAGCCGAAACAACAAAGCTTGCAGTTGTCTTTTGGATTTCATTGTGAAAAGCCTTTGGGTAGTTTTCAGATGACAGAAGATCCTTGGTTCCTGAAAGGGAGGAGTTCTGCCAAAACTTTGAAGATCCCTGTAAACTTTGCAAATTACCCATCTTTTGGAGACAATTATATCAAACGATATCATGGATTACAATACATGAGAAGTGTTTAGAGCCTGGAAGATTATTTATGTTTGGCATTAACTCTTATGGTCATAATTTCAAGCGGGGAGAAAAGGAATACACAGGAACCCTCTTATTATCTTTTGAAATATGAAGATCAGAGGAAAAGAAGGGTTTAAAGTGTGGAGTGATGGTCCTCAAAACCTGTCTGTAAATTAGCTGGCATCCTACATCTATAAAAACAACAAAGCTTAAGCTGATTTCCAGGCACAGAGTGGACCTCATGAGTCGTTAGCAGTGCTTTGAGATCTGAATTTTTATACACCGCAGGAGGAAATTGCAGCCTGCGGGGAAGAGTACCTGTACAAATGTTTCCTTCTTGCTTGGACTGATACAAGATTTGGAAGCCAAATTCAGGAACTGACATTCCACCGGTGAGAAAAAAAAAAAAGCAGCATGGACAGCAATAAAGATGATGATGGACTATTGAACAGGATTGCATTTCCAGGAGCTATGTCCCTGGCTAGCAGCCATGCGCATCCCCATGGGGTCCCCCTGAGAGAGCCCTTTGGGGTTCCCTTCCATCTGGACCCGTCTTACTGGGAGCAAGCCTACGGCGGCCACACAGGTCGCATCTCCTACATCCCATTCCCTGGCTTTGTGGGTGTCTATGACTATTCCTTTGAGCCTGCCTTCATTCGAAAGAGGAACGAGAGGGAAAGGCAGCGGGTGCGCTGCGTGAACGAGGGCTACACACGCCTGAGAGAGCACCTGCCCAAGGAATTTGCTGACAAGCGCCTCAGCAAAGTGGAGACCCTGAGAGCTGCAATAAGCTACATCAAACACCTGCAGAGCTTGCTGGACTGCCATCCCTTAGGGTCCAACAGTAAGGAAACGCTCTCTGCCAAGGAGCTCCCGGAAGCTCCCAGTCCTGGTCCCCCGCGGGAGTGCAACAGTGATGGGGAGTCTAAAACCTCTTCAGCTTCATCCCCCTACAGTGAATTTGAGGAGACAGGCAGCTAGGAAACAGCCTCTCTGGAGACAGAAGCATTCAAGTTTGAAACCCAAATGTAAAACCCTGGGGATTTTTCTACAGATGGAAATGAATACCAGGAAAAGGGAAAGCAGCTAGGAAAAAAAAAAAAAGGTATTTTCAATCTGTCAAAGGACTTTAAACGTTTTCTGTACAAAACCTAAAGATTATTTGTAAGCAAAGAGCTATCTCAGGTTGCTTCAGCTATGTTAGTAAACTTCCTTTGGATTGTTAAAACTGAAGCAACGTTGGCATTCTACTTTTCATTCAACTTTTATTCTGTTTGTCTATTTTCTGTTGCCTTTCACTCAATGAGACAGCAAAACCATATAAATCCACTTCGGGAAATTCCCCTCCCCTTTCTCCTGCTTCCTCTTGTAAGTTTTATTGTCTATTTTTCCTGACTGCTAACCTGAGATGCACTGGGTTGCAAACACTTGGACTGGGAAAGGTAAGATTTAGATAAAATATCTTATAGAAATCTCACAGAAATACTTCTATTTTTGAAAAGACAATTTTAAAAATATAAGTAAGGCTATATTTGGGAATAAGTGTCTTTTACGGCATCTTCTAAAGTGAAAGAAGCAACTCATACATGGGACACTGGCTATTTGGTGATTATTCAAAGGATAATTTTCAGGAAAAGAAAATCAGACACTTTCATTCTAATCAATGCTAGGAAGAGGGAAACAGAGTTTTGTAAAACTGCACCTTCAAAAGCAAAGCTCCACCCATGATACTGAAAAAATGTTGCCAGACTTTTTCCTTCTTTTCTGAAAACTGAGTTTCTGGAAAAAATATTCTTGATTGTGCCTTTTTGACAGGGCAGATTATATGCTTAGAAATATGTTCCTGTAGTGGTTAGATACTGTTGTGTGCAAAAAGGATAACATTAAATATATCAGGTTACATCTGCATGAAAATGTAGGTATTTCTCCTTTTGTTTAGAATATTGTATTACTTTTTCAAAGATTACAGCTTTTAAAATTAGATTCTCGAAATCTGTGGAATACATTTAATTTGGACCATATCTACTTAAAATGAGAATTTGTCTCCAAATTGCTCTAAAATCTTCCTTTCTCCAAGGCCAGATTTAAATAGCATTTAGCTATGTGCTTAAATCCCACTCTGAATATAGGGTAAAACTCCTTCCTACCCATACACCTTCCACAGATCTTTCAGACTTTTGCTTTTTTGGACTTACGTTGGTGAAATGGTTTTGTATCTTTTTGTCTTTCCTTCATGTCATGATGACTGAACACCTGAAAAAATACTCATGTACAAGTAAGAACAAATGCTGATCAAATACCTCAAAATGTGTCCATAAATTTCATTTAAATAATAATAAAAAAAATTAATCCTGGCTGTGGGTTTTTTTCCACTTTCAGTTGCTAACGAATGGGACAGCGCTGTTTGCAGGAGTAATGAATTTTCAGGTAAAAATAAAGAAAATGGATAGGAAGTAAATATGAACTGGTACCCATGAAACTAAATTTTTAATTTAGATTTTTAAATCTAGATAAGGAGCAGGTTTGTGCTGTGGGCATCTAATCAAAATTATTTATTTGGTATAAAAATGCCCTGCTGATTTCTAGCAGACTGCTCTGAGTATTTGTACACTTTTAACTACTGGGTGCCTGCCTTCAAGTACTTGCAGTCCAAGTCTGGGTCTAGCTATTGCTGGAGTTCTGAACCCGATTATTTTTTCTTAAATTACAGTCAACAACCTAGAAAACCAAACACATTTAGGCCAATCCCACGCAGTTCAGAAATGGAAAAAGCCTAAATGAGTTGTCCAAACAACTTGCTGCAAATTATTCACTCAGCCTGACTGTACTGAAGCAGCACTGTTAAAAATGTCAATGGCAGTCAGAGACTTCATTCTTTATTCTTCACGTGGTAGCCAGCTTCCATTTCTAACGACTATTTTGTTTTTCTAAGGGCTGTTACTTCTGCAGGGTCTGTTTCCCAGACCCAAAAAGTAGAAATCTAGTTACCTGGACAGTTTTGTCTAAGGATCTAGAGCTGAGAACTCATTTTTGGGTGCATAAGTGTTTATATTTGTTATCCAAGAAAGGGGAGAAGGGCAAGGTAGTGGTTTGAATGTTTGATTGGGATCCACTATTTTTTGGCTTTTTTCCTTCCCTTTGTGGTGTCTGACAAGAGATTCAACCTCTCTCTCTCTGCCTCAGTTTTGAGATTTCTGGAAATGCAGTAGTGCTGCTGGTAACTGTCAGTAAGCCTGAATTGCATTTCTCCCTCAAAGCAGAGATTAAATCTTTGTTGTCTGTGAAAAACATACACTTCCTCAGAGGACCTGAGACAAATTCTGTGAAACATATAGTTGTTTGTAAAGCACTCAGAAGATGAAAATCAGTTAATAGATATATAATCACAATAAATAGCCAAATTAAACTGAACTGCTAAAAATAAAAAATGCCCAGAGTGGCTGTTACTTCCTGGGTAGGAGGCCTCAGATAATGCCCCAAATAAATTTTTAGGTCAGATGGTTATCACAGAAGTTTCACCCCTACAGAGATATATCCAGGTGCCATAATCCTCTGATTTCCACATCCTAGAGAGATGGTGCAGTGTGCCATGTTCTCCGTGATCAGCTAGTTAGGCTGGCTGGAGAAGCAGACCGGGTCGTGGCTGTGCCCCCTTTCAGCTTCATCTCACGTGGGATGTTCCCACACAGGAGTGTAACCAAGTGGAGAGCATCACACCCTGGGCCTGTGCTTGGCCATCACCGCTCTAGGGTGTCTCTTCCCATGTGAGACGCGGGCTGATCTGCTGCACGTCTAGATGGGACTGTTTTATTTGTTGCATATCCTTGTACTCTGCAGTCAGAACCAAACCCGGATTATGTGAAATAATATTCTGGAAAAGCCCTGTGGACTTCAAGGCAAGGAGACTGGTTAAAAGTCTACGCGTCAATAAAACTGTAGCTACTTTTCTTTTAGATTATACATCTTTAACAGCACTGGAGATGTCCTTAAAATACCTCCCAATCCAATCTCAATGATGAAGATGCAAAAGCCAGAATGTCACATGTAACTTAATTTAATTGTAAAGGAAAATTAATTTCTGGATGAAAAGGAAATTCCTTCTGTGGAAAACAAATCTGTCACAGGTTGAACCACACTTAGGAAAGTTATACATTTTTATTTCTCACAGTTCCTGTTGTCATGCAAACCTCTTGCACATGTTTAGCACAAGGAAGTAGAAAACAGCTCAAGATTTCCCAAATATGGATCAGTGTTTCCTACAGGCATTCACAAAGTTTTCAAGTGAATGCTACATTTCAAAAGGTTTCCTAAGCTGCTTCTGTCTAGACAAAGGTTTTCTTCAAAGCTTCTAAAGTGTATCACTATCAGACTTTGAAAGCAGACAATGATCCAACTTGTCACCCCGAGAATTAAAGTTATAATAAAAATGCTGACCAGAAGAATTCTCTCCATGTGGCGCAATTACTATTTGCAATAAAGGCGAACACTGATATCCCTAGGCAACCATGCTACAGCTTTATCAAACTCCTGCATGCCAAATGCAGACACTTTAATCTTTCTATCAAATGTGAAAAAAACACACATCTGAAGTCTTCCCTCTTCTGTCATTAAATTACAAATCCATTTGCTGCTTGATATTATCAGCATTTTAAAGATGTGTAATCCTGGCCATGGGATTGCTTTTAATCCTCTAATAGCTATTTAGCTGATTTCTTTGTAAAAGCCCATCCACACTCCTTTCATGTTATATTACCCAGTGTCAATAATATGGCTAAAGAAAACCAGAAGGCACCGCGGAAAAGTCATGTTCAGACAGTAAAGCAATCGGGGCCAATTTATCTCACTGGAATAAATGGACAAGGAACGTCCACATGAAAATAAAGAATGTTTGAAAATACTTGTCACCAGCATACTTGGGAAGGAGGCAAAATAAGATCCAAAACATTTTGAAGAGAGACTCTCAGTTGGTACCAATGAGGGAGCCCTGCTGAAGTTAGCTGAGGTCAACAGCTACAGCTGAGGATGGTCTCAGTAAGTCTCTCCAAAATAGTCTAAGCAAATATCATCTCAGCAGGTACTCATCAGTAATAATCCTCAGTGTATAGATAAATGGCTACAGAGTAAGAGGTAAATTTGTTCTAGACAAACAGGGGGCAGCAAAATGGTAAGACAGCACCCGTCTGTCCAGCTGTAGATCTGGAAACCCTGAAAACACAAGATGAGCATCAGTTTCTATCAACCTGAAGGTGTGCTTGGAAGTGAAAATATGCTATAAATGCTCACGCATGTATTTCCCACATGATTTTTACACATTTTTTTCTACCTCACTGTGAATATGTCTACTGACAGAGTGATGGAAAAGTTCTCCAAGTTGCCCTCACTGGGAGAACAAACTAGAGGTGTGAAGGTGTTTCTAAAGGTAGGTGTCTCTCCCCATATATCAGCGACTCTCCATACAGTCAACAGTGGACTAAATACAGAGAGGAGTCAGGCTCGGGTGCTCGGTGAAATGAGCACAGACTGCCAACAACATTTGTTTGAAATTTACAACAGTCTGGCAAGGTGGCACTGCTCAGAAGATGCCCCAGAGCTGGCTGAAAATGTTACGAGTCAGCTACCCTGAGCCAAGACCCTGGCAACTCAATAGGAACCAGCAAGTTCATTTAGTGTGCTGTGCAAGAGACCGCTTAGGCTTTTAAAGAGTGAAAGGGCCACCTTTTTTTTTGTCAGCAGAGTGTCCTTTCCCCTACTGACTCATATCCACATTGCAAAATTATTCCTCTGACCCTCAGGTCTGATAGGTGGCACAGACAGGTGGTGGGTCAGGGACCCAGCACCCAGCTGTGCTTGGTTGGCTGTGGGGTTCTGGAGAGGCAGATGATGGCAGGTGGGAGAAGGACTGTTGGTTCACTCTGGGAAGGAGATACTTGCCTAGGTGGGTGTTCAGGTGAAACCTACCACTCTCTAAGAGTGGGATTCAG